TTAAAAAAAATCCTCAAATAAGAATGAGTGAAAAGCATTAACTATTAAAAAATTATTTAAACAGAGAAAGAACATAATGAATTGTTACTAGGCAAACTTTCTCGAAAATTATATAATAAACATTAAAATTCAATATTATTTGATTAAGCTTCATTTGAACTTTGATAAGATCCACTATCAAATAATATAACTTTATACGTTTTCTTCGTCAAATATTCACAGAACCGTTCTAACTCGTTTGCATCTAAATGACAAAGTCATTTGCATATTGTTACAGTATTTCAGAAAATATTTCTTAAAATAGTTAAAGTAGTTTCCTCTCAAACGCTCATTGCGACAAAAGTTCATGTATAAAGTAGAAATGATCTGAGAGAGGAAAATTTCTTTTCCTATTTTCTAATCATCGCTTTCCTAAGTAAACAAAAATAATTAATTTCGGAGAAAATACTTAAAGAAATAAATGTCTTTTCATTAGAAGTAGACTAATATGAAAAATATTTCAATAATTTTTTAATTTCATTTAATTTTATAATTTCTAATTTAATTAAAAAATTATATTATTTTTTATGAAATTCAATTAATTTCAAAACTTTTAGACTTTGAATTCTTCAAAAATTGGATTAGGTAATATCAAATAACTTGTAAAGGTAAAAATTTACATATTTATAAAAATTCATACTATAACGCATTTAATATTAGATTAGGTATAATCATTACAAATGATTCCAGAAATTTAATTATTTTCAAAAATAATCAAACTCTTCGCATAAATTCAATTATGTTCAAAAATTTTTGACAAAATTTCAATTATTTACAAAAAATTTTAGTAAAATTCTTGGAAAAGTTTCAATTATTTTCAAAAATTTTCCTCAATTTAATGATTTTCAATATCTACTCCCAATGGGAAGTAAACGATTGGTTCAATAATGGGCCATGCTTGGCGAACTCCGTTCCATTATTGGAACATTAATGGCAACCATCATTGGACCACCAATGGTTTAAACTTGGGATGATCACGCTACTGCCAATGATCGGTAGCCAAGCATCGGGCCAATATTAGTTGCCAAGGAATTGCCAAGGAAACAAAATCGATTTTCAAAAGCTTGATTTTTTATTGGCAGCCAACAAAAAACCAAGGTTTTGAAAATTGATTTTTTTAAATTATTAATTAAAATATATTTTTCAAAAATTTATTAAAAAAAAAAAATATTTTTCAAAAATATATATTTTTTTTTAAATTGATAGAACATATTAATTTAATTTGTCACCTCTGGTAAAACAAAGATGAAAGACTGATAAATTCCCTCACTTTATATCTTACAGTGGAGGGATAACTGTGAATGTCTTTGCGAGAGAGGAGCAGGTACTTATATAGAGCCAGTGAAACAGGTCACAAGCGAGAAGAAATCACTAGCATGCACTCTGGCGGCGCTTGTCGGAAGTGGCGCAACGTTGGTTGCCAAGCGCTGTGTCGATAACGTCAGGATATGCATGCGCGCCAGAAAACAGTTCCGACAAGCGCCGCCAGAGTGCATGCTAGTGATTTCTTCTCGCTTGTGACCTGTTTCACTGGCTCTATATAAGTACCTGCTCCTCTCTCGCAAAGACATTCACAGTTATCCCTCCACTGTAAGATATAAAGTGAGGGAATTTATCAGTCTTTCATCTTTGTTTTACCAGAGGTGACAAATTAAATTAATATGTTCTATTAATTTAAAAAAATATATATTTTTGAAAAATATATTTTTTTAAATTAATTTTTGAAAAATATATTTTTTGAAAATAAATTTTAATTAATAATTAAAAAAAATCAATTTTCAAAACCTTGGTTTTTTGTTGGCTGCCAATAAAAAATCAAGCTTTTGAAAATCGATTTTGTTTCCTTGGCAATTCCTTGGCAACTAATATTGGCCCGATGCTTGGCTACCGATCATTGGCAGTAGCGTGATCATCCCAAGTTTAAACCATTGGTGGTCCAATGATGGTTGCCAATTGTTTTGCCAAGAAAAAACCATTGGGTACCAAGCATGGCCCATTATTGAACCAATCGTTAACATTGGCAACTTCCCGTTGGGCTATTTTAATAAAATTCTCCAAAAGAATTCAATTATATTAAAAAAGAAATTTTAATGAAATTCGTCTCAAGAATTCAATTATTTTCATAAAATAATAAAAAATTCACAGAGATTCAATTATTTTCGTAAATAATAAAATTTTTTTTAGGAATTTAATTATTTTCATAAATAATACAACTCATTGAAAAATTTCAATTATTTTTACAAAAAATCTGTGATTTTGGAAAAGTTACAAATTATTGCAGAAATTCAATTATTTTCAAAGGTAATATTATTTTCTTAGCAAAAATTAAATATTGTTCAAGAATAATAAAATTTTTCTTAGAGATTCAATTATTTTCACAAATACTAAAACTCATTGCAGAATTTCAATTATTTTTAATACAATTTTAATCGAATTTCTCGAAAAATGTGATTATTATTAAAATTTTTATTACAATTCGTCGAAAGAATTCAATTATTTAAAAATTTCTTGATATAATTCTTTATAAGAATTCAATTTTGAGAAAAATTCAATTATTCAATAAATTATTTATTTTTGTATTTAAATAATTGAATTCTATTAGAATTTTCTAGTAAAAATTGATTTAAAAATAAATTTCAGTTAAAATTTCCGATAATTGAATATTAATTAATAGTATTATAGTATGAATTTTTAGAAATAATTGAATTTTGAAAAGTTTTCAAATTGAAATCTTTGAAAATTTAAATTATTTTCCATACTTTTGACTGACAATTCTGTAGAATTAATTAATCTATTTTTTAAATATTTAATTAGAGAATTTTCGAAAAGTTGAAATTTTGTAAAATTGAATTGTATAGAAATGAATTTGAAAATTCTCAAAGAACTTTTTCAAGAATTATTAAACATAATGCATTTACAGAAGAATTTTAGTTAAAAACTCGAAAAAAAAATTAATTTTGGAAAAGATACGAATTATTGCAAAAATTCAATTATTTTCAAGGATAATAATATTTTCTTCGCAAAAATGAAATATTATTAAAAAATAATAAAATCTTTCTTAGGGATTCAATTATTTTCACAAATAATAAAACTCATCTCAGATTTTCAATTATTTTTAATACAATTTTTATCGAATTTCTCGAAAAATGTGATTATTCTTAAAATTTTTATTACAATTCGTCGAAAGAATTCAATTATTTAAAAATTTGTTGATAAAATTCTTAATGGAAATTAAATTTTAAGAAACATTCAATTTTTGAATATATAATTTACTTTTCTATTTAAATAATTGAATTCTCGCAGAGAGTTTTCGAATAAAAATTGATTTAAAAATGAATTTCAGTTAAAATTTTAAATAATAATTGATTATTAAGAGTAATATAGCGTGAATTTTTAGATATAATTGAATTTTAAAACTAATTTTTTTGAAAAAGTTTAATTGAATTTTTTTTATTATTTTAGGTTTTTATTTTTTAATAATAATATTTAATTGAAGAATTTACGAATATTTAAAATTTCGTAAAATTGAATTTTATAAACAAATGGATTTGAAAATTGTCAAAGAACTTTTTCGAAAATTATTAAAAGTAATTGATTTGAAGAAGGATTTTAATAAATAATTCTTAAAAATAATTAAATTGATAATGATTTTATCACTATAACCGCGGTTATATTTAATTATTATAAAACATGAAGAAATCGATCACTCCGAGTCGAAGACTCAGAGTTATCGATATCTTCATGTTTTGTAGTTATGAAAAATTTAATTTCTAGTTTTAAGTAAAATGTTCTCTTATTTGACTCGTATTATATTTTTTGGCAGTAATTGGTCCGTAATTTTTCATTTTTTATCCGTAATGTGCGTATTTTTAAATACTTTCACTGGTTCGAGCCCTGAATTTTTTGCTGAATATTGTATTTTAATTATTGTTCTTGTGGCTTGCCTGGGACAAAATAAAGAAATTATGAATTATGAGTTAATTCACTGGTTCATATACTGGTTCATAATGGTCATTAATAATTAGGCTTTAATAGCAAATTATTTGAGAGGTTGGTCCCCAACGAAGGGGTTAATTTCGTGAAAATTTGTGGACATTAAATGGAATATGCTTTAAAAAAAAAAATCTCTACTTTTTTTCTTATTGAAAACGCAGAGTTCATCATCATCATCTTTAAAAATCACTTGGAGAGAAAAGAAACAGTAGAAATCGTAAGTTAGGAGTAATAATAATTAAAATACAGCAACTACGTATGACTCACCGGAGTTGAACTTTGAAGTAGACCTCTGAAGTAGCCAAGTCTGCAAGGCAAGTTTCTCTCGATGTCTACAGAAGAACTCTGGCCTGATACCATGTCTCTTCAAGAATTCATCGCATTTCCTGAAGGCAGCCAGTGCTTTGGCAGCTTCAACCTCATCGATCTCAACGATACCGCTCGGATAGGAACTACGTCTTGATGATGAGGAACGTTCCTCATAAGTCTCATCCGGAAGGAGCATTCCCATCTTCCAGGTTGTTCTATCTTCCACCCTATAATTGCAACCACAACCTTCGCTTCCGATTAGCGGTACTCGTCCAAAGCACATATTAAACCCAAAGTAAGGAAGCTCACGCGAGAGAGATTCCCGTCTAGGGCTAATATTCAATGCACAACTAATTAGCCACTCTCTCTCTCTCTCTCTTTCTCTCTCTATATATCAGAGTCGACCAATTTCATCCAAGTCCATCGACTTTACTAAACTTCCATATTCCCTCCAAGTTATATGTGACTGGCGATTCATTCGAATTGAATAATAACCGAAAACCCGTCAAACCATCACTGGAAACCTGAGAAGTTGATCTTGCTTGTAGTTGTGCAACTGGAAAGAGGAACTTCTGCTTTGGATAGATGGAAGATCCGCATATCCTTGTCCCAATGTTTCCCTCCTCTTCTTGGCATTGATCAATAGAGGGCAATATTGCACACCGAGAAATGGATATTCTCGATTGCAAAGCGAAAGTTGCGACAAGCGATATCTCATTTCTGCTTCCAGTTATTGCTGAATTTTCAACGATTGATCTCGATTCTCCCCTTCGTTTCTGAAACAATCAAATTGTTCACTATCAGTTTAATCAATTATTATTATTCACTAAAATGAAAATTCTCATTCAAAATAGAGTCAAAGAATTTATAATTCAAAGTCTGGAATTTTACAAAAAATAATCGTTTTCTGGAACCCCATATGGCTCGAATCAGTAAAAGTATTTAAAAATACGGACATTACGGACTAAAAATGAAAAATTACGGACCATTTGCGGACCAAACTGACAAAAATATAACCAGTCCGAGTCATAAAAGAACATTTTACTTAAAACTACAAATTAAATTTTTCATAACTACAAAACATGAAGATATCGATAACTACGAGTCTTCGACTCGGAGTGATCGATTTCTTCATGTTTTATAATAATTAAAAATTTGCCAATTGATAAAATCATTATTATTTTATATCATAAAAATATTGTACTTCTTCGAATTTATTTCCATCATTTCAAATCAATTATTATTTTCATGAATTTTTAACTAAAATGCTTCTTTTAATCGATTATTGTTAATAATTCGAAAACATTTCGAAAATGTTCTTTCACAATTTTCAAATCCATTTGATTACAATATTCAATTTTACAAAATTTTAATTATTCGTAAATTCTTCAATTAAATATATATTAGAAAATAAAAACTTAAAATAATATAAAAAAAATTCAATTAAACTTTTTCAAAAAAATTAATTTTAAAATTCAATTATTTCCAAAAATTCACGCTATATTCTTTGCTGAAATTCAAATATTTTAAAAATCTGCTATTTTAATCAAATTTTTCAAAAGAATTCAATTATTTAAAAAAATTTAATAAAATTCGTTTCAAGAATTCAATTATTATCATAAATAATAAAATTCTTCACAGGATTTCAATTATTTAAAAAAAATTTAATAAAATACGTTACAAGAATTCAATTATTTTCATAAATAATGATATTCTACACAGGATTTCAATTATTTAAAAAAAATTTAATAAAAATTTGTTGCAAGGTTTCAATTAATTTTTTAAATAATAAAATTCTTCACAGGATTTCAATTGTTTAAAAAAAATTTAATAAAAATTCCTTACAAGGATTCAATTATTTTTTTTATATAATAAAATTCTTCACAGGATTTCAATTATTTTTAATACAATTTGAAGTAAATTCTCCGAAAAATCTAATTATTTTATTTATTTAAAATTTATTTAAAAAATTTTTAATTGAAATCGTTCGAAAGAAATCAATTTTAATTATTTTTAATAATTATTGCAAAAGTTCCATCAAAATTTTCAAATCCATTTGTTTACAATTCAATTTTATGAAATTGCAATAATTCCTAAATTCTTCAATTCAATATAAATTAGAAAATAAAAACTTAAAATAATATAAAAAAATTCAATCAAAGTTTTTCAAAAAAATTTATTTAAAAATTCAATTATTTCCAAAAATTGAAGCTATATTGCTTTGAATATTCAATTACTATCTAAAATTTTAACTAAAATGCATTTTTAAATCAATTTTTATTCGAAAACTCTTTGCGAGAAATAAATTATTTAAATAGAAAAGTAAATTATTTATTCAAAAATTGAATGTTTCTTAAAATTTAATTTCCATAAAGAATCTTATCAACAAATTTTAAAATAATTGAATTCTTTCGACGAATTTTAATAAAATTTTTTAAAATATTCACATTTTTCGAGAAATTTGATTAAAATTGTATTAAAAATAATTAAAATTCGGCAATGAGTTTTATTATTTGTGAAAATAATTGAATAGCTAAGAAGGATTTTATTATTTTTGAACAATATTTAATTTTTGCGAAGAAAATATTAGTACCCTGGAGAATAATTGAATTTCTGCAATAATTTATAACTCTTCCAAAATTAAATTTTTTTTCGTGTTTTTAACTAAAATTCTTCAATAAATGCTTTATTTTTAATAATTTTTAAAAAAGTTCTTTGAGAATTTTCAAATTCATTTGTTTACAATTCAATTTTACAAAATTTTAATTATTCGTAATTTATTTAATTAAATATATCTATACCAAAAAGTAAAAAATTCAAATAATTTCAAAAAAAAATCCGCAATTAAATTTTCTCAAAAAAATTAATTCCACAAAATTGTTAGTAAAAAATATGAAAAATTCAGATTTTCAGAGATTTTAATTTGAAACCTTTTGAAAATTCGATTATTTCTAAAAATCCATGCTATTTTATACATTCAATATTCAATTATAATCTAAAATTTTAACTGAAATCTATTTTCACATAAATTTCTATTAGAAAATTCTACAAGAATTTAATTATTTAAATACAAAAAAAAAATTTATTAAATAATTGCATATTTCCTAAAATTGAATTCTTATAAAGAATTTTATCAATAAATTTTTTAAATAATTGAATTCTTTTGACGAATATTAATAAAAATTTTAAGAACAATTACATTTTTCGAAGAATTTAATTAATGTTGTATTAAAAATAATTGAAATTCAGCAAAGAGTTTTATTTATTATGTATGAAAATAATTTTTCTGTATCCCTTTGCCGAAAGTACTGTCTTCCCGGTCTGATTTGGCTCCGGGAATAGCGACTTTTGTGGCCGGCTCGACAGACCCAACGAGCGCTCTGATTGGTTACAAGAATTTCAACACACGTACATGTTAGCATAGCAACCACACAGACACGTTACATACAGAGCTCACGTTTTGAAAACAACTGACAGTCATCAAAATAATGCATGAAATTTCTTATTTTCTTTTATTATTTTTTAATTATTAAATATTTATTTGTAAAAGAAAATTTCTTGTTTACTATTTTTTAAATTTTACTTCCAATTATTTTTTACTTATAATTTTTTTTTCATGCCCGCCCCGACCAGCTAAGTCTCGGCTTCGCCTCGACTTTGCAAAAGTCGGGCGGGCAACTTATTGAGCTATTTTATTATTCAAACAATAATTATTTAACGTACTTTCGGCTGGGGATACAGAAAAATTGTATACGACACACGGCCAGAAATTTGGATACCCTAGCGAGCGTGATATATAAAGCCTCGGCTTCGCCTCGGCCTTATATATCACGCCGGCCAGGAAATCCAACTTTCTGGCCTAGTATCGTAATATACTATAATTCCTAGAAAGAATTTTATTTATTAGAAAAACAACTGAATCCCTGTAAAAATTTTATTATTTATGAAAATAATTTAATGATTGCGAAGAAATTTATAAAAAATTTCTAAATAATTAAATTGCTGTGAATTTTTTATTATTTTATGAAAATAATTAAATGTTTGCCTAAAATTCGATTAAAATTTATTTTTAAAAATAATTGAATTCTTTTGGAAAAATTTATTAACCCTCACGGGCTCGAGCCGGGTCCCTCGGACCCGGAGGAAAGTTTTTTTGATCTACTTCCGGTTAAGAAAATATTATTGGAAAATCAACTTCACATTAGGCTTGGGGACGTAAAAACACACATTTTTCATCAATATAAACAATTTTTTATTTATAAAATATTCTGGTAAATTACCTTTTAAGTCGAACATACGTAAAAGCTCAAGCCGGGTCCGAGGGACCCGGGCTATGAAAAAAAATTTTAAATTTGCAATTTTTATGCAATATTCGATTTATTTATGGTATTTTTATCAATAACTGCCATAATAAGTGATAACATCGTTAAATACATCGTTAAATTTAATAGAACAAAAAATACAAATTAGAAAAATCTTGCTTAATAAGTATGTAGTTCGATTTATTCAAAATGACTCATTAAATTTATTAAACAAATTTTAGTTATAACTTGATTACTTTTTAATACTTAAAATTTTTTATGCAATTATATCATTAAAATTGTATTAAATATGGAAAATATGAAGCACTTTGCTATTAAATTTTATTTTTTATTGCATTGAAACATCCGGGTCCCTCGGACCCACCTTGTGCGCGCATTTCAAAAATCGAACTCGAGCCTGTGAGGGTTAAAATAGTAGATATTAAAAATCATTGAATTGAAGAAAATGTTTGAAAATAATTGAAATTTTGCCAAGAATTTTATTCAAATTTTTGCAAATAATTGGATTTCAGAGAAAAATATAATTATTTCTCAAGATAATTGAAATTTTTATGAGAATTAAAAAATTTTTTTGAACATAATTGAATTTCTGCGAAGAATTTTATTACTTTTGAAAATAATTGAATTTCTGCAATCATTTGTAATTTCTCTAAAATTCTCCAAATTATATCGTACAATTTACAAACTTTACGGACCTTTTTTCCAAAAAACTGACTTTTACGGACTTCAAGCTAATTTACGGATCTAGTTTGAGTCCTGCAACCCTGATTCTGCAAAAAAGAAAATCTCCTCAAAATTCTAACCCTTGTGGTATAATAATGCGCTTTGGTAATTAACTTTTCTTTATTAATATTTTAAGAGTCTCTCTGATTCGTGGCACAGGAGGATGAAATAACCCGACATTAATTTGTCCATAAAAGAGATAACGTAAGGTTTCCTAAAATCGATTACAGACTCTCTATATATATTTATTAATAAAATAGAACGCGCATGATGAATAATTGAACAAGGAAGCGTTTGGGAAACACAATATTCTTCTGAATAGATTCTAAAATAAAATTCAACGACATGGTTTCCCTTTTATAAATAAAATATTCAATTATTCTCCCTCTATACTGAGCAGAAATTCATTTTCAATCGTGTCTGTATATATATATATTTGTGTGTGTACCCCCTGAATTCAGTGATTTGTAATTTTATGCTTCAAGTAATTTGCAATTCGAAATTTTATATAGGCAGGATGTTCAAGAGATTTTTCAAGAATACGGTATATATTGTAATACTAAAGTGGGAGGACAAGTGAAACTTGTGACTAAAGAATGTATAAGACGAATACTAGAACATTAATTAACAATAACACGAAGTCGATTTAAGCATGAAAGAATCGCGACAAGCCGCCAGTAGCTTTAAGGGTCTCGCAGCACGCAACTCAGCGGATTTTAATTAATTACAGTCCAATCGTCGATAAACTTCATTGTCACTGATAGCCTGATTCATGATATTATAAACGTTACATTTACAGTCGACAAAAAAAAAACTCTTCTCTTGTACTTCTAATTGTTACTTTTTTCAAGTATAATTAATAGAAATAAAAAAAATTCAACATTTGGAAGAAAATATATACTAAAATTATATAATCAAACATGAAATCAAATATAATTAGATTAATATTGAAAGAGCTATTTTTATCATACAGAAATGTCACGAAATACGGACTTGTAAATTTTTAAATCTAAATTATTCAAATTTTAATTTTCCGGCTTGCAAAGAAAATCGTTTTTTAATATAAAATAATTATAAAGTCAGTGAATTAATTTTCAAGTCATTTACGTTTAGTTAATTAATTATTAGAGTAATTATGTCCCGTTGATTAATTATTAAATACATTATGCTCTCTTGATTAACTGTTCAATCAATTGAGTATATTTGATTAATTATAAAGTTACTGAAATAAATATTTTTAACCAACTGATAATTGCTAGTTAATTATTCTTCCTGTAATTTAATTTGATTGAATTATAAGAAAATTAAGATAATTATTATTATTATTCTTTTCTTCGTTCAGGGAACAAAATCATAAAATTTTAATTATTTAATGTCTATATTCAACGTGCAAGCTTTCTAAATCAAAATTACTGAAAATAAATAGTCCAGTAATTTAGTAAGAATTTTTATACTTGAGTTTTTGTTAAAACATTTCAATTTTATTTATATATTTTCAATTTCTTTTTCTCAATAAAATTTTAGTTGTAAAATTACTTAAAAATTTTATAAATTTTGCAATCTAAGAGAAATTTTATAAATAACGTGAGAAAAGATAGAACAACGAAAGCTCAGTGCAATACACAAACATTCCTTATTTTATTTCAACAAGTTTTTCGCAAAAATTTCAACACAATTCATTAACAAGATTGACACAAAAAATTAATTTTGTTTTTCCCTGACTTTTCCCTGACCCTCAAGAATATTGTAAATCACTCTAAAAATTATTAGATACTCAAAAAAATGTTCTATTTCATTTATTAACGAATTTTTTTTAATTGTAAAACTAATCAAAAACGTTCAATAAATTCTTTTTTAAATAAATATTTAATCATTATTATTACTTCATAGGAATTAAGATTTACAAAAAAATTTTAATTCAAAAACTTCAATTCACCAACTTATAAGAATGAAGATGAAGATATCGATGTTCGATATCTTCATGTTTTCTAATAATTTAAATTTCCATAAAATTTTTCAAAAAAAAATTTAATTATGTACAAAAACTTTAATGAAATCTTTCGCAAAAATTCAATATTTTCATAAATAATACAATTTTTCGTAGAATTTTAATTATTTTTAATACAATTCTAAATGAATTCCTCAAAAATATAGTTATTTTCAAATTTTTTTTTGCAAGAATTCAATTACATTTCACAAATAATGAAATTCTTCGCTGAAATTCAAATATTTTCAAAATTTGCTATTTTAATCAAATTTTTCAGAAGAATTCAATTATTTAAAAAAATTTAATAAAATTCTTTGCAAGAATTCAATTATTTTCATAAATAATGACATTTTTCACAGGATTTCAATTATTTAAAATAAATGCAATAAAATTCGTTTCAAGGATTCAATTATTTCCCTAAATAATAAAATTCTTCACAGGATTTCAATTACTTTTAATACAATTTTAAGTAAATTCCTCGAAAAATGTAATTATTTTAAAAATTTTTATTAAAATTCTTCGAAAGAAATCAATCCTATCAATTATCGATTATTTTTAATAATTATTGCAAAAGTTCCTTAAGAATTTTCAAATTCATTTCTTTACAATTCAATTTTACAATATTTTAATTATTCGAAAATTCTTTAATTAAATATTTAAAAAATAGAAACTTGAAATAATTTTTAAAAATATTCAATTAAACTTTTTCAAAAAAATTAATTCTACGGAATTGTCAGTCAAAAGTAAAAAAATTTCAATTTGAAATCTTTTCAAAATTCAATTATTTCTAAAAATTCATGCTGTAATGCTTTTAATATTCAATTATTATCTAAAATTTTAACTGAAATTCATTTTTAAATCAATTTTTATTATAAAAGTCTACGAGAATTCAATTATTTAAATATAAAAGTAAATAATTTATTTAATAATTGAATGTTTCTCAAAATTGAATTATCATAAAGAACTTTATTAATTTTTTTTCCAAAAATTTTAATAAAATCTTCATGAATAATTACATTTTTCGAGGAATTCGATTAAAATTGTATTACAAATAATTGAAATTCTGCAACAAGTTTTATTATTCATGAAAATATAATTGAAATTCTGTAAAAAAATTTATTATTTATGAAAATAATTGAATTATTGCGAAGAAATATATAAAAAAATTCCTAAATAGCTGAATTCCAGTGAAATTTTTATTATTTATAAAAATAAATTTAATGTTTGTTTAGAATTTTATCAAATTTTTTTTTAAATAATTGAATTCTTTTGAAAAATTTTATTAAAATAGTAAATATTGAAAATCATTGAATAATTCAATGATTTGAGGAAAATTTTTGAAATAATTGAATTCCTAAGAAGAATTTTATTATTTTGGAACAATATATTTAATTTTTGCGAAGAAAGTATTATTACCCTTGAAAATAATTGATTTTCTGCAATAATTTGTAACTTTGCAAAATTAAATTTTTTTCCTGTTTCTAAACTAAAATTCTTCTATAAATGCATTATTTTTAATAATTTTTGAAAAAGTTCTTTGAGAATTTTCAAATTCATTTGTTTACAATTCAATTTTACAAAATTTCAATTATTCGTAAATTCTTCAATTAAATATATATTAGAAAATAAAAACTTCAAATAATTTTAAAAACAAAATCCGCAATTAAAGTTTTAAAAAAAAATTAATTCCTCAGAATTGTTAGTTAAAAATATGAAAAATTTAGATTTTCAAAGATTTTAATTTGAAATCTTTTCAAAATTCAATTATTTCTAAAAATTCACGCTCTAATGCTTTTAATATTCAATTATAATTTAAAATATTGGTTGAAATTTATATTTACTTTAATTTTTATTAGAAAATTCTACTAGAATTTAATTATTTAAATACAAAAAAAAAACAATTTTTTGAATAATTGCATATTTCTTAAAATTGAATTCTCATAAAGGATTTAATCAATAAATTTTTAAGTAATAATTGAATTCTTTTGACACATTTTAATAAAATTTTTAAGAACACTTACTCTCTAAATCTGAATTAGTAGTTTTCTACTAATTATTAGTAGAAAATTTACTAATTTGAAATAGTAAAAAATACGTTCTACTAATTAAATTAGTAATTTTCTACTAGCAATTAGTAAAAAACTACTAAAAATTAGTAAAAAACTGTTACTAATTTAAATTGGTAAACGAATCCGCACTAATTCAGATTTAGAGAGTACATTTTTCGCGGAATTTGATTAAAATTCTATTTAAAATAATTTAAATTCTGCAATGAGTTGTATTTATTATTCATGAAGATCCTAAAGTTCTGAACGTTCAAATGAACAAAAATTCATTTATTTCTTCTCCAAATTAAATTTTTATTGTAATTATTATGCGTTACTATCCAAAAAATTAATTACTGAGTTTCTAAACGTAAATATTTCAGTTTTTAAATTTGTTTGTGATTAGTAATTTATTGAAATATCTTCACTAAAAAATATTTCGTTCATTTGAACGTTCAAAACTTGGGGATCATTATTCATGAAAATAATTGAATTCTTTTGAAAAATTTTATGAAAATAGTAGATATTAAAAATCATTGAATTGAGGAAAAATTTTGAAAATAATTAAATATTTGCCAAGAATTTTATTAAAATTTTTGAAAATCATTGAATTTTGAAGAAGAATTTTATTTTAAAGACAATAGAAATTTGGACTTTTCGAAAACTAAATTTTTTTTCTGTACTTTAATAAAAATCCCTGACTTTTCCTTGATCTGTGGCAACCCTGATGAAATACTTTTTCTCAGAAAAGTGCAATTTGCTAATTAACCGATCACGTGTTCAAACACGGTGTTAAACGATATTGATTAATTCAAAGTGTCATCAAAGGACACATAACGAAGCAGTATAAACGACGCTTAATATTTAAGCGTATACAGAAAATCGACTTGAAGCCACCCATGACGAGAATTTATACGGGAAATATTGAGTAAACATTTTGATTGTAATATTCCACCATGACACGATTCGCTCGATCGGCTTTGTTGCCAGTAGCAAAGATCGAATCACGATCTATCCATACTCATGCATATAAACACATTCGCTGTATATACACTGTGTGTGTGTGTGTGTTACAGATTCAAAGATCAAAACACGGAACCGCGATAAATATAATACCTACTATCCAAATATCTCTTGACTGAAACGAAATTCCGGAAAAAAAGGAAAACAAAAAAAAAATCATATATATACAAACAGGGATGAGCGTAATGAGAATAAAATTAATATTATCACTTGTGCCGCTCAACTAGTTTCCAACTGATAGCGTTTACAAACCAGCACGCAACATTCAAGGGATGTTTTTTACTCGCACAACGTGGCGTAAAAAGATAAGAAAACTTTTTAAATTTTCGTTTTTAGCTCGAAATATTTCTACATTCATCACTGGAATTTATTGTTCCAACTCGGATTCATTTTTTTTTTTTTTGTTAAATATTAGTAAACATATGCCACAGTGGGCTTCGCACTCAATAATTAATTTGACAACAAGATATAATGTTTGAAATAATTTTATTCAACTTTAAAAAATTATAAACTCAATAATTGAAATCATATAAACTTATATTTATAACAAATCATATACTTATGAAGACGAAAATCCTTAGCTCAATAATTCAGAGTGTGTGCCTTTTGGCCCATCAGGTATATCTGTAAATTTCCAATAGGCTCCATTTTAATACTTTCGTTCAATTTCTCTTGACAGTGTGAAAAACAATTTTTTGTTTAATATAAATACCAATAATATTATAATGTACATACCAAATGATTTCAGTAGTTTGAAATCCAATCATGTTCAATAATTTACGAGAACATCCTATTTTATTGCAAGCTGCAATAGAGACCTTGTAGAAACTTTCTTCTATGAGATCTCTAACAGTTACATTTTTATCAAAACAAGGGTAGAAAACTCCAGACCATAAAGGTGATTTTGAATCTCTTTCATATAATAATTCGACTTCGATTGAGAACCAAGAATTACAATTCTTATGAACCATGCCATGCAGTTTGATAGTGGCAAACGTATCCGCGAATGCAATTATAAACTCTTCTCTTATCGGTTTTTTAGGTAGAACTTTAAAAAGAAATATCAAGTAGGCACTTAATTCTAAATTTATATCTTGTACAATATTTAGGTAACATAAATAGTTTTGTATTTTAAGGGGAAAATAGAAATCATTTTTAAGAAACATAATAAGATTTATCCCTACGTTTATAAAAATGTTTATCGCATTCGGTGAAGGCCAAAGAGTTAGGTATTGTCTCAATTTTTGAACCTCCAATTACAATACAATCCATTTCATACGTATTTTCAGAAGATAACAAAGAAGTACTTTGCAATATTTTCTGCAAAAAAGATAAATTATTAGTTTAAGCAATCAAAAAAAAAAAGAAATATCAAAATGAGACAAAAAACCTATTAAAATTGTTGTGATGCAACGTTTTAATAGGTTTTTTTGTCTCAATTCCTGCAACGAATTTTAAAATTAATGAAAGTATTTCAATGTTTATAAAAATAACATAATTCTTGGGAAGAAATTTAGAAAAATTTTTAAATAATCGATTTCTTTCGACTAATTTTATGCAAATTCCTGAGAAAATTTTATTATTCATGAAAATAATTGAATTCCTACAAGGCCTAAAACAAAAAATTTTTTAAATAATTAAATTCTGCATGGGAATTTTATGAAAATAGTAGAGGTTAAAAATCATTATATTAAATTGCGAAAAGTTTTTAAAAATAATTAAATTTTACAAAGAATATTCTATTAAAATTTTTGCCAATAATTGAATGTCTGTGTGGGATTTTATTAAATTTTTTTAAAAATAATTGAATTTCCAAGAAGAAATTTATGACTTTTAAAAATAATTGACTTCTTGTGATGAATATTGTTATTTATGAAAATAATTGAATTTTGCAAAACAATTTTATTAAAATGCCTCAAAATAATTGAATTTTCGAAAATAATTTTGTTATTTTGTTATTTATTTATTAAAAATAATTGAAATTCTTCGATGAGATTTATTATTTATGAAAATAATTGAATAGTTGCTAAGAATTCAATTAAAATTTTCAAAAATAATTGAATTATTGCGAAAAATTTTATTAAAATGTTTAAAAACAATTGATTTTCTGTGAAAAATTTTTATTATTCATAAAAAAAATTGAATTCCTACAAACATTTTTACAAAAATTTTTAAAAATAATTGAATTCTTTTGGAAAAATTGATTAAAATAGTAGATATTAAAAATCATTGATGTGCGAAAAGTTTTAAAAAATAATTAAATTTTACAAAGAATTCTATTAAAATTTTTGAGAGTAATTGAATGTGTGTGTGGCACTTTATTAAATTTTTTTAAAAATAATTGAATTCTTGCGAACGATTTTATAAGAACTTTTTAAAATAGTTGAATTCTTACGAACGATTTTAATAGAATTTTTTAAAATAATTGAATTTCCAAGAAGAAATTTATGACTTTTAAAAATAATTGACTTCTTGTGATGAATATTGTTATTTATGAAAATAATTGAATTTTGCAAATAATTTTATTAAAATGCCTCAAAATAATTGAATTTTTGGGAATAATTTTATTATTTATCGACATAATTGAATTCTTTCGAAGAATTATTTATGTAAATAATTGAATTCTTGTGAAAAAACTTCATTTGTGAAAATAATTGAATTTTTCGATTAATTAATTTCAAATGGTATTAAAAATAATTGAATTCTTGCTTTCAAATGTAATTAAAATTTTTTTTAAATAATTGAATTTCCGTGAAAAATGTTATTATTAGTGAAAGTAATTGAATTATTGTGAAGAATTGTATAAAAATTTTGTTAAATAATTAATTTTTGTAAAAGTTCTATTCTAAATGAATTGAATCCTTGTGAAAATTTTGTTATATTTATGAAAATAATTGGATTTTAGATGAATTTTATCAATTTTTTTTTTAAATAATTCAATTCTTTTGCGAAATTTTATGAAAATACTAGATATTGAAAATGATTGAATTTCGAATATTTTTTGAAAATAATTGAATCGTTTTAAAGAATTTGATTATAATCTTTTTTAATTATCTTACAATATCAGTAGTTTCGGGACGATGTATCCATTGAATTGAACATGAAAATTTAGTAACGTCCAATACTTTAAACGTAGGTTTCGTTGAGTTATATATTTCTGAAAATTTAATAATATTACAAAATACATATTGATCGCAATAGTTATGACACAGTTTTTCTAAGGATAGCAAATTGAGTTAAAAAACGAATCAAAAGTGTTGCGAAGTTGTCGCAACACTTTTGATTCGTTTTTTGTCTCAATTTGATATCCTCAGAAAAACTCTGGGTACGTACCAGACTTCTAATTTTTGCTGAAAGACGGATCAGAACATCCTAAAGCATTACAAGTCATAACTTGAAACTTGTATGTATTCCCAACAGTAATATTAGAAAACTGTACAGAAACATTTTTACACTCCAGTATATTAGTTTCAATAATTTTGTCACTTTTTGCTTCCATAAGATGGATTTTATACCATATTCCACATTGTCTAAATCTATATTCTTCTTTGAAACTGACAACGGCTTCCGTATTTATAAAAGTAAAATAAAATTTTTCTTCCGATGTTTTATTAGGTAATTCTAGAAATTAAAATAAATAAATATCTTAAATATCTTAAATATGTTAATTAATATGTTAAATTTATATAATGAAGATTTGGTTTTTGAAGTTGTAAGACCTTTCGATTCCAGAGTAGTGCATTCTGTTTCTGTATAAGCAATCTCTTGATCATTATCATCATCTAAAATATAAGTGTAAATAGGATATATGATATTAGGTTTAAAATCATTTATCGTATGATTAATTTCCGTAGATTTGGAAACTAAAGTTTCAGAAATTTCCCTATTTAACTCGTTTATATAATTTATCGTGTACTTTGTTACTTTTGAATTTGTCAAATTTGTCCACTGAACGGTGCATGATGTCTCCGTGACGTTCAGAACCTTCATGTTAATTTTTGATTCGCCTATAAATTATAATAAAAAATCATTTCTTTCTGGTATAAATTAAATTTCATCGAACATATCTCATATAACTTATTGTCACTCAAGATCCCTTCACCGACATTTACCGACACTTTCAGGCCCAAACTCAAATCTAATCTCGAATCAAAGTCCATGGTTTGAGTCTGGACTAACGATTGTCGGTAAATGTCGGTGCAGGGATCTTGACCTAGAACCAGCTTCTCATTTTTTCTTTTCTTACAGCACTTCTCATTCCTATTCGTAAAAATTTGTTTTATTAATATTAAAACCTTCACCTGATTGATATTTTCTGCTCACAATCGGTTTAGAACATCCGAATTTATTACAAGCCGTAAATTGAAGTCTGTATGAATCATTTTTTCGGAGATTGTTAAAATGAACAGAGCTATCTTTCCATGTGAGGTTACTACTTTCAATAATGTTATTATTTACTGAATGAAGAAGATCAATTTTTAACCAGTCAGATAAGTATATATTAAATCGTTCTTTCATAGCGACACTGGCTTTATTATTTGCAAATAAAACATAAAATGCCTCTTCAATTACTGGATAAGGTACTCCTGTAAATTGATACATTTTTTTCATTTTAATTTCAAAACGAAATAAAAAAATTTAAATTTAATAAAAATTTGATAAAATTTAATAAAAGAATAAGAGGAAAATACAAAAAGTACCTCGATATTGATAAGATCTGAGTACTCTACTTTCGAAAAATGTACCATTATTTTTGAGAACAACTCGACATTTATAGTCAATGTTTGGAGTAAGATCATAAACAAATACATAAAAACGACCTACATGATATGAATATAATACACTATCAGTGTATCTAAATGTGGAAGTAACAACGTTCTCTATTACAAACAAATAATTATTTTCAATAGTTCTATCCATATCGAAATTAATTTGCAGATCAACCCAAGTTCCACCAATATTTAAATCTTCCAAGTTTCCTATGGATTTATTAGTTATTAGTGATATAATAATAAATAAAAAAGGGAAAAGAAAAAATTCACAAAATAACCATACCTGATGCTATATCATTTCTATAATCTTTGCTCAAAAATGGGCTAGAACATCCAATGTTATTACAAGCCTTAATTTCGACTCTGTGAATATTACCTCTTGTTAAATTTTCACCAACTTTAAATTTATCATTGCATGTTAATTTCCCAATATCTTTACGTTCATTATTTTCTGTTGTATCAACAATTTCGATAGAGTACCATACGTCACAATTTTTATTAGTACTATTGCGGAACTTGACAGTGGCTATTGTATCCGCGAACGAAATAATAAAAATACTTTCATTCGGTTTATCCGGTATGTCTATAAATTAGAGGCTTTTTTTAATTACAAATTTCATGTTTGTAAAAATTATATGAATTTATCATGAATTGTAAAAAACAAATTTTACTGCTTTAAAATTTAAACAATAAATGTGATTTACAATTTTCCTGTACTTACCATTTTTAATAGTTTTACTTCCAACTACATCAGCATTCACAGTTCCGATAATCAAATAGAAAATATAAACAAACAAAACAATTAATCGTCGCATTATTTAGAAATGCAAAATGAATTACTATCAATTTTAATTTCAAAATAACTTTCTTCTCTTACAAAGGTAAAATGTAACATTTTCGAATGTTGTTGCGCTTTTTATAGGAGAAAATACATCCAATCAACTACTTCCACGACTCGTTATTAATAGAAATATTTAATTTCTTTAAGATTAAAATTAGAAACTGATAACACACTATATAAAAGAAGTAACATCTATAATGTCTATATTTATGTTTTATAGAATTTTTAGCACCTGAGTCAATGCTTATACACAAATGTTCCACACAAAGCTTATGAAATTTCCTAAAAATATTTCAAGTAATATATTTCTGAAAGATTTGAAATATTTCAATGTGAAATCCTCCAAATTACTTAATTTACCAAAAAAAATAATTTGATACAAATACTGAAATTATTGGATCAATTACAATTTATTTGACTTATATAAAATTTATTTGATTCAAGTAAATATTTATTTGATATAATACACATGTAATCAATTATTTGAACCAAAACAATTTTTTTCAAATTTTTTCAAATTCTCGTCAAAATTTAAATTATTTTTACTAATAATAAAATTCTTCTCCGAAATTCAAATGTTTTCAAAAATTTTAATGCAATTCTTGGGAAAATTCAATTATTTTCAAAAATTTTCCTTAATATCATGATTTTTAATATCTACTATTTTAATAAATTTTTCCAAAAGAATTCAATTATTTTAAAAAGAAATTTTAATACAATTCTAGGCAAACATTTAATTATTTTCATAAAATAATAAAAAATTCACAGGAATTCAATTATTTGCAAATTTTTTATAAATTTCTTCGCAATTATTCAATCATTTTCATAAATAATCAAATTTTTACAAGATTCAATATTATTCTCGTAAATAGTAAAATTCTTTTTAGAAATTCAATTATTTTTATAAATAATAAAACTTATCGTAGAATTTCAATTATTTTTAAAACAATTTCAATAGCATTCCTCGCAAAATGTAATTATTCTTAACAAATTTTATTAGAATCCGTCAAGAGAATTGAATTATTTAAAAGTTTTGTTGATAAAATTGTTTATGAGAATTTTACTTTTAAGAAACATTCAATTATAATTCAATAAATTGTTTTTTGTTCTATTTAAATACATAATTGAATTCTAGTAGAATTTTCTAATAAAAATTGATTTAAAAATGAATTTCAGTTAAAATGGTAGATTATAATTAAATATCAAAAGTATTATTTAAGAAATATACGAGGCAAATATCTTTATAAATAAAAAAAATTCTCCAAAATTCAATTATTTTCAAAAATTTAGATAAAATTCTTGTCAAAATTTCAATTATTTTAAAAATTTTTCTAAAAGAATTAAATTGATTAATAGAAATTTTGATAAAATTCTACACAAGTATTTAATTATTTTCATAAAAATTTCACAGAAATTCAATTATTTATTATTATTATTATTATTTATTTTCGTATTTAAATAATTGAATTCTCGTAGAATTTTCTAATAAAAATTGATTTAAAAATGAATTTCAGTGAAAAAGTTAGATTATAATTGAATATGAAAAGCATTAAAGCATGATTTTTTCTAGAAATAAATGAATTTTAAAAAGGATTCAAATTAAAATTCTTGAAAATCTGAATCTTTCAAATTTTTAACTAACAATTCTGTGGAATAAATTTTTTTTTTGAATAAGTTCAATTGCGGATTTTTTAAAAATTATTTGAAGTTATTATTTTCTAATATAATTATATTTAATTGAAGAATTTCCGAATAATAGAAATTTTCTAAAATTGAAATATAAAGAAATGAATTTGAAAATTCTCAATAAGAACTTTTTCAAAAATTATTGAAAATAATGAATTTGAAAATTGTCAAAGAACTTTTTCGAAAATTATTAAAAATAATTGATTTAAAGAAGCATTTTAGTTTAGTTTTTTAGTTTTTTTATTCTTGAAAATAATAATTGAATTAAAATTATGGAAATAATTTTTCGAAGAAGAACAATATTTTTATAATGTAAAATAATAATGATTTTATCACTGGGCCATCTTTAATTATTATAAAACAGGAAGAAATCGATTACTCAGAGTCGAAGTCTCGGAGTTATCGATATCTTCATGTTTTATAGTTATGAAAAATTTAATTTAGTTTTAAGTAAAATATTTTTCACTAGTTCGAGTCCTGATTAATCAATTTCATCTAAATTCTAATTGTCAAAAAATATGTTGTCATAAAAGTTATGAAATTGAACAAAATTATCAAATGATGCTTCTTGATCACGAAGGTCGAGATTTTATGAAAATTCATCAAGTGTATCATTATAATTCTACATGAAAATAGTCACGAAGGCCCTTAAATTATTTTCGAGTAAAGGTCGAACAAGTATTGGATCGATTTTTTAATTTTTGATCTGTGTTATTATTAGTAGTAAGTATATCTTTTTTTGTAGTCAAAAGTGTATCAAATATTCTGTGGAAATAGTTGACAAATATTACCTTGAATAGAAAGAGAGATACAAAAAGAGAACATTTTTTTTTTTCTATTCCAGATAAGTTGTGACTGTGAAGTGAAAAATTATCCCTTGGGTCATATCTATTCAGCCATCAGGTTCTGTGAATCCGTAGCTTTGTAAAAAAGAAATCTCGGCACTCAACAACGGTAACTTATCGACCATATACCTCCTCGATTACGTTGATCATTGAGTCAGATGAATAAGTACGTACTTGTTGGACCATGAAAGTGTGACTTAGACCGCAAATCCGCCAGTGAATAATTCACCCTCTCGAGCCGAAGGCAAATCGTCTATCATCGAAGCTTCGTGCACGCACACGCGATACCTTTCTCCCACATCCCACCTCCGACTCATTTTTCCATCTACTCTACACCCTTTAACGTTTCCCAATTATTCTTCAATCCCATTATTATATACATATACCTATGCCATATTGGAGAATTTCATTTTTCTCCTCTACGGAAGATTCTCTAGCAGAATCATCTCACTTTACCCACCAATCGTCTCAGAATATTTTTCCTGTGTCTCTCTCTCTGTCTCTCATAGCCCGAATGCGAATGATTGCATGGGGAATTGCAATCATCCTATAAATTTATGCCCAAATCGTTTTGATTTAAATTTTATTTGTGATGCAGACGGCGAAAGGGCAGATTTTATTCTCGCACGATTTGTTCTCTCTGTGTGTATAGAGTGTATTCTATATAGTCGGTATCCTGTTTTGCTACTGTCTACGGCAACGTTTCAGTTTACTTTGGATATATCGATATTATGCGCGTACGGGGCGGATTTTGTGAATAATATTTAGTTTAAAGAAACATATTCTCAAAGGATGCATTAAATTGAAAAACCCGGCTGTTATACCTGGAGATGTGCAAATATTTTTTCAATTTTTTGAATATACATTTCGATTTGAAGAAAATATTTTCCATAGTGTGTCAATTTCAAATTGATAACGTTTTTTTATTGCGCAAGGTCATTTTTCTTTGATCTTTTAAAAAGTCTTTTTCAATTGCCATTTATAGACAAAAATAAATATCGAACATTTTTTCAAAGATATTTCTTTGACACGGAGAAAAATTTATTCGTACTGATTACAATAGTCTATATTACTGCTCGGATATGTGACCACTTTTTGTTATGATTACTATAGCTGTTGTAAGGAGTACAAACATGAAGGTATCCCTTACAACAGCAATAGTAATCGTTCCTACTAAATTCTTAACACATTACATAGTCTTCGTAATAATTCCAAAAAGTGGTCACATATCCGCGCTGTAATGTAGACTATTGTAATCATTAAAAGTAATTTTTCTCCGTGGATAAATAATAAATCTAGATAACAATAATAAATTGATAATTTGTTTAAGGTACAAACAATAAATGGTAGTACCACTCATCTATCTCGCACAAGTTACTTGGACTAAATGTCGAAAATGACAATATGAAATAAAAAGAAGGAAATTTTCTTTGGAAGAAAGAAACATGTGAAAAGAAGGAAGAACGTAATCATGCGGAACGTATAAAACACGCACATTACGAAGGAAATTACAATAGAGGGAATTTATTTAATCGATAATCGATGGGAAATAGTTGTATGGAAATGAGCACAATTTAAATAACTTGGTACTAATGAGCTACGATTTGCGATCCAAACGTTTAAAGATTTCAAATCAGTGCATCCAACTTCCTGTGCGTATATTTAAGAAGACAATTATCTTTCACGAAAACATTAAATTTATATAAACACTCGAAAAACTTTCCGTAAAAATTTTACAAAATTTACGCCTCTTTAAATATAATAAACCAACTCAAGGAATTCAAAAACTTTTTTAACATATCCTTTTATCTATTTCATAAAATCGTACATTCGTAATATTTATTTATTTATTTATTTTTAAAGAATGAAGATCCAAAGGTAACCCAACGTGGATATTTATTCTTCAAAAAATACGAATTAATAAAACGCCAGGAAGATGCTGAACTATTCATTTTTTAATTTTCTAGTTGATTTTTAATTCACGATAATTTTATGAAAAAAATTAGAAACTCCAGGAGGATTCGAACACTCTTATTGTGAAAAATGATTACCGATCATTTTACAGGCCCGAATAAAACATTTTGAAAGTAAATTATTCCGAATTGATTATTTTTCAAAAAAAAAAAAACTGATTTCGAAATAGTTCTTAGGATAAAATGCAATTGCCAAAAATTGTGGTTAAAAATTTTTAAAAATCCAAGTAAAAATTTCAATTATCCTTAAAAATAATAAAATTCTTCTCCAAAATTCAATTATTTTCCAAAATTTTGATAAAATTCTTGGTAAAAATTCAATTATTTTCAAAAAAAAAAAATAAAATTCTTCGCAGAAATTCAATTATTTTCAAAAATAATAAAATTCTTCGCAGAAATTCAATTATTTTCAAAAATAATAAAATTCTTCGCAGAAATTCAATTATTTTCAAAAATTTTAGTAAAATTCTTGGTAAAATTTCAATTATTTTCAAAAATAATAAAATACTTCGC